GCTGCTCCCCTCCTCCCCCCTGCCCTCCTCCCCCCTTGCCCTCCTCCCCCCTGCCCTCCTCCCCCCTGCCCTCCTCCCTACTCTTCTCCTGTGATGCTCCCTGCTGCTCGCACTGCAGCTTTCCAAGCCTTGCTCTCTCTCTCTCTCTCACTCCCTCACTCCCTCACGCAACTCCCTCCGTGCCTCCACCACCCCAACGCCTCTCTCTCCCCTGTGTGCAGCATCGTTGCCTTATTCGGACTATCTGGACAACCAGAACGCGGCCAGGGCGGCAGTGGGCGCCATCCCCCTCGTCTGGAACGCCTCCCGTCAGTGCCTCTTGCCCGTCCTTGTACCTCGCCTCCCGTGAATGTCTATCTGCCTCTCGGTTTGGCTGCCTCTGCCTCTTGGTTTGGCCCTTGTGCCCCCCAACGAGCTTGCTGTGCACACATGCATCCCTCCCTACCGCCTCACAGACTCCAACCCTCACTCCTCCCTCTCCATGCCTCCCCTCGCCCCTCACATCCCAGTGGCGGCGGAGGCGCAGGCATGGGCAACAACGCTGACCAACAGCACGTACAACTGCGGGCTGTCGCACGGGGGCAACCCCGGCGAGGGGCAGAACCTGTCGGGCGGCAGTCCGGCGGGGTATTACTCGAACGGGGCGGCGGTGAGCTGGTGGGTGGGCGAGGGCGACCTGTACTCGTACGCCGTCTTCTCAGGCGGCTGCAGCACCGGCAACTGGGCTGACTGCGGCCACTACACGCAGGTCATCTGGAACAACACACGCACCGTCGGCTGTGGCAAGGCGTCCTGTGGCACCAAGGCAGATGTGTGGGCCTGCAACTACTACCCTCCCGGCAACTACGGCGGCCAGCTGCCCTATGGTGAGCCATCTATGCCTCAATCCATCTCCACCCACCCACGCGCATGGCCAATCTCCTTGCCTTGCTTGGCGCCCACCCTTTTCCCTTCCCGCCCATTCCCGCCCTCACCTCAATCTCCCTCTCCGCGTCCCCCCCCGCCCTCACCCCCTTGCAGTGCAAGACCCGTGCTACCGGGTGGCGTGTCCGTCCACAGCAGCGTGCACGGTGCGGTACGGGCAGGCGGTGTGTGTGTGTGGGGCGGGGCAGGTGCTCGTCAACAACGCCACGTGCCAGCCCGACCCTTGCAGCAGCGGCACCACCACCTGCCCCGGCAACCTCGTCTGTGACGGCTCCTCCGGCACTGCTCAGTGCGCCTGCCCCACCGGCCTCGTAGCCATCAGCAACACCACCTGTGTCCGTGAGTGCCCCTCGCCATTCCCTTCTCCCCTGCCTGCCCCATCTGCTCCCTCCGCCTCTTGCTCACCCACCCGCTCTCCGTGCTTGCTCCCCTTCACTGCACACCACCACTCATGCTTTCCACTCCACCTCCCTTCACCTTCCACTCTGCTTTTCTTTTACCTGCAGCACCGGCGTGTGTGGGGGCGGTGTGTCCGGCGCAGGCGGCATGTGCGGTGGACGGCAGCGGGTATCCGTTCTGCCAGTGCCCCGCGGGGTGGTACCTCAGCAGCAACGTGTGTGTGCAGGGCACACCCACAGCCGTCGCAGCCACCAGCCTTGCCATCTACAACACGGCGTCCTACACCTCCACGGCCCCCGCGCTGGGCCCCACGCTCGTGCGCACGGGGCTGCCCGTCAACTCCTCGCGCGGCAGCTGTGTCGACATCCCCGGCGGCATCACGGCGGCGTCGCTGCGCGTGCTGTGGAACGTGCCGGACAGCACGGGGGCGCCCAAGCAGTCGTGCGGGCTGCTGTGGTTCTGGACCAGCGCCGCCTGCTACGGCTCTGCCACCGGCTACTATCGCCCTGCTGGAGACATCACCAACTTCGCGTCAGTGCCCTCACCCCCCCTCTCCAGCTGATGCCCTGCCCCCTGACCCGTGCCCCCCGCTGTGTTTCTTCTCTCAATGCTAGCAGCTGCTGTCCTTTTCCTGTGGTGGTCCATTGCCCTCCCTCTCTCACACTCGTTGCCTCTCTTATTTGCTGTTCTTCCTCTCCCTTGTCCATGCAGCACTACGTCGGGGAACGTGGCCTTGGTGAAGGCAGTTGCATGCGCCATCTGACCGCCTCCTGCTGCCACCATGCATCCACAGGGCCACACTGTACAGCTACAATCTTCTTCGCTCCTGGAAAACTGTTGATCCATGTTTTATGCTTCTAATTTGTACCATAGGTGATTCATTTATTCAATATCTCTAGTTGTGTTGCCCAGCCTCATTTTTGTGAAAAAGGTTGTGTACAGTTGTGTTGGATAATCTGGAAATAAAGGACCGTATTCAACTTGTTGAGGGGGCTAGCGTAGGTTCCGTAATCCTCTGAATAAAAGATGCTAGAGGCTTATGTTATTTCTTAAAATTTGTAATGGGAAGTACCCATGAGAATGGTACTTGAAAAATATTTCGCTGATATCGCGAACTTGCTGAAAGTGAATGATAGTGTTTGCAGATGTGCGCATGAATTCGACTCCAACCACAAACGTGTCATTGAAGGGGTCAGACTTGAGCGACTTTCGCAATGACGCTCTTTACGATAAGCGAACACGTCAAACCTGTTTTCGAACATTTCGTGATTTTCGTGATTACCAAATTCCTGCAGACCCCAACCTCACACGAGCCAGCAGCACTTGCACCGAAATTTGGGGAATTTACGAGTCGCACCCATACAGTTTGTGCGCCGCAATTTTGAAGCACAATGCACAGATCCAACAACCTCGAGTGCAGGCGAGGAAAAACGGAGCCGTCTGTTGGTCTGACCTGGCCGTTAGCATGAAAAAGGGGCAATGTTGCTGTACGTGTACAGTAAAGCTCACACCGCTTGCCCCTACCCACTCTCCCCGTCGAATGCACACACGACATCCAAGTGGGCTGACAAGCACTCCCATGTGGTACTGTACAGTACCTTCCCCACCCGTCTCCCTGCAGCAAACTCGCTGTATATTTATAACTTTCTAAGTGTAAATACAGAGCGCTTCAGCTCATGCCCAACCTTGCCCGGCGAATTTGGCTATTCCATCCAATTCACTAAGCCCATCCCTCGTGCGCCCAGCAGCACGGGTACAGCCCCATCGCAACCATTGATCACATCACACACCTTATCACGCAGCGGTGATAAGGAGAGCCACACACATTCCGAACCACTTATCTCACAGTCCTCCCTGCTTCGCCTCGCCACTCTGAACAGCTGCTCCACTCATACATCGCACCACCACCGCATTGCAATCGACTCGACCAGGGACCGAGAGCATGAAGCGCGTAGCGTTTCTGCTTCTGCTGCACGCGTGTTTACTAGCTTCGCCTCGCCTCGCCGCCGCGGGTAGCAGCAGCCGTCGCGAGCTGCAAAGTGAGTGCGCCCGTCCTTCACGCCCGCATTACTGCGGATTTCACGGGCGGGAAAATGTCGTTCAACGATAAATCTTGACAGCTTTGCCAACAAGCGTCAATTATTTTGGCTCGCGCCATTCTAATGTCGAGCTTTGCTCCGCCCCATCCCCCTCCCCCCTTCCAGCGTCGTGTCCCGCGGGCGTGGTGTGTCCGGCGGGCGCCACGTGCGCGGTGGACGGCAGCGGCTACCCCTTCTGCAAGTGCGCGGCGGGGCAGGCCATCATCAACGGCGTGTGCGCGCCGGCCGCCAGCTGGGCGGAGGTCGGCACCAATGTCGTCATCTACAACCAACCCAACTACACCAATAATCCCACAACGCTCGCGCCGGCCGTGCTACGCGGCGCGGCGCCGAACACGAGCGCGTGCGTGAACCTGGCGGGCGCGTTCAACGGCACGATAGGGTCGGTGCGCATCATGTGGAACGTGAACGACGGCGTGGCGGACCACCTGGTGTGCGGCAAGCTCTTCTTCTGGGACAAACCCAACTGCTGCTGCTCCGGCTCCGGTTATCAGATCCCTGGAGGGTGGGCCAACGCCAACCCCAACAACTTCTCCTACGCCACCACCAGCAACAAGTGAGCCGCGCCCCGCCCCTCACCCCCCCCCCCCCCGCCCCTCAACACTTGCGCGCTCATGCTCCCGCTCGCATTCCTTCCCACCGCTGACACTCCTCGTCTGCTTCCGCGCTTGCTGTTGACCGCGTTGACTGCGTTGACTGACTCTGGCTGCATTGACTGCGTTGACTGCGTTGACCGCGTGCAGGAATGCGAGCGGCGTCATCGCGGTGGGAAGGTCCATCTCGTGTCAGGCCGCCATCGCCACCAACACGTACCCCTGCGCCACCAAGACCTGCCCCGCCAACGCCGCGTGCTCCGTCGTCAACGGTGCCGCCGTGTGCACATGCAACGCCGGATACAGCATGGTCAACGGGCAATGCGTTGGTGAGTGAGCGTTATGGTTAGAAATGCAGCATGAATGCTCTGCAATCCGCCTTCTCACTCTCTTCTGCTATAACACCTCGATAACACCTCGCTACCCACTGGGTCAAAACGAGGGTGTTATTTGGCGCAGCGGAATGCCCATTAACACAGCCCACAGGCGTTACATCTGCCCTTTCTGCCCCCACGCGGTACAGATCCGTGCACGGGGTACACCTGTCCCGCCAACTCAACATGCTCCAACGTTAATGGCGTCGCCACGTGTACATGCAATGCTGGTTACCAGATGGTCAACGGCCAGTGCGTTGGTGAGTGAGTCAACCCCCCTCAATCTCACTGCGTCAATCCCCACCCTGCCCTCTTCTCTCCTTTGCCTTTACTCTCTCTTTCCTACTCTCTCCACCTCCTCTCCTCTCCACTCCCTCCCTCTGTCCCCACTCCACTCCTCACCTCCAATTTCTCTATGGCCTTTGACCTCATTGTTTTCGCTTGCCCGTTTCCTTGCCTTCCCCCCTCCAAATACCAGTGCCCGACCCATGCACGGGGTACACCTGTCCCACCAACTCAGCATGCTCAAACGTCAACGGTGTCGCCACGTGCACATGCAACACTGGTTACCAGATGGTCAACGGCCAGTGCGTTGGTGAGTGTTGCTGGCGATGGTGCCTGGCTGCACGTGCAATGGCGGGTGCCGCGAGCGTCGCGAGGACTTCACCTCCCTGTCGCTGCGATTTCCGTCCCTCTCCGCTCTCCCCCGCAACGTCACCATTGCATCTTATAATGCCCCCTTTGCTGTCTGTCCCCTGCTCATTCCCCGCTCACTATTTCCCCCCTCCCTCTCTTCTGCCTTGTCGCTCCCCCGTGCCCTGCGTGGCATGGCAGTGCCGGACCCGTGTGCGACGGCCAACTGTCCGCTCAACTCGGTGTGCAGCAACGTCAACGGCGTCGCCACCTGCACGTGCAGCGCTGGATTCCAGATGCTCAATGGCCAGTGCGCCGGTATGCTCCCCTGCTCCCCGCTGCTCCCCGCTGCTCCCTGCTGCTGTTGCTGCTGCTCCCGTGTTCCGTGCTGGCACTGCTGTCTTCCTCGTTCGCTGCATCTTCCCCACACCCTCCTCTGCTCTTCCCACTGCCTTAAGCTCTCCCCAGCCCCTCTCCTCCGCCTTCCCCCGCATGCCCCTCTATACCTTCTTAGCAGCACTGCCCCCATCGGACCCGTGTGCGAGCACCACGTGTCAGGCCAACGCCAACTGCACCGTCGTCAACGGCGCCGCCACCTGCACGTGCCTGCCCGGCTATATCCTCATCAACGGCGCCTGCGTAGGTGAGGCTCCTTTCCCGCACCTTCCTTCCCTCTGCTGTTTAGCTTCCACCCACTCCCCTTACCCCTGTTTCCTCTCGTATTGTCTGCTCTGCTGCAGTATTCCACCCCTTGCATCTCCTGCCGCCTTGCGTGTCACTGCCTCGTCGCGGGCTCATGCGTGTCACCACCTTGTCTTCCTTTGCCGCTCCTCCCGCCAGTGCCCGACCCATGTGCGGGATTCTCATGCCCCGCCAACTCAGCATGCTCCAACGTCAATGGCACCGCCACGTGCACGTGCAATGCGGGTTACCAGATGTCCGCCGGCCAGTGTGTTGGTGAGTTGACTCCCTTCAATCTCGCTTTATCAATCCCAACATTCTCTCGCTTCCCACAGCCATGCCCACATGCCGCTTATTCCATCCGCGTCGAGCCTTCCCCTGCTCTCACCCATCCCCATCCCCTCCAACCCCTCGTTTCGCCCTCCCCTCGGCCCTTGCTGGTGCGTGCAGCAATCACCGATCCATGTGCGTCTACCACGTGTCCCACCAAGGCCACGTGCAGCAACGTGAATGGCGTCGCCACGTGTGTGTGCGCCGTGGGCTACACCCTCGTCAATGGCGCCTGCCAGCGTACGCCCTCCACTGCTCCCCTCGTTGCCTCTCGCCCCTCTCGCCCTCTCCCACACGCCGCTTAGACAATCTCTTTTCTTTTCCATGCGCACAGCACTGCACCCGTCCCCTGCTCAGCTCCCTGCCCCCTCCGCACCCCATCCCCCCTGACTCTCCTCTTGCCCCTATTCCACCCCCCTCCCTCTCATCCTCTGCTCTCTCTTCCCCTCCCAGCGGCCGACCCCTGCTCGTTGGTGACATGCCCGGCCAACTGCACGTGCTCCTCCGCCAGTGGCGTCGCCAAGTGCGACTGCCCCAATGGTCAGTGCTGCCCTCCCCTCCCCCCTCGTCCTCTGCCCTGCACAATCTTGCTCGCCTCGTCTCGTTCTCTCCCTGCCCTGGCCCCTCATGCCGTCTCCATTGCTCACTGCCTTCCGTACCTCCTTCTCCCAACTTCCCCCCTGTATCCCCCCCACGCCCTGCGGTAAACATGCAGACCTGTGCTACGGGGTGAGGTGCCCCGACGTCTCCAAGTGCACATTCATGCTCGGTGCGCCCGTCTGCACGTGCCCTCCGCCCTACACGCGCCTCATCGACAACAAGTGCTCCAACGGTCAGCTGCTGCTCCTCCCCCGTGCCCTCCTGCTCCCCTCTTCTCCCCTCCTCTTGCTCTGTCCCTCATACCCCCACTCTCCCCCCAAGCTCTCTCCCCATCACGCAACTCCCTCTGTGCCTCCACCACCCTCCGCATCTCGCCCTGCGCAGACACGTTGCCTTATTCGGACTATCTGGACAACCACAACGCGGCCAGGGCAGCAGTGGGCGCGGTTCCGCTCGTGTGGAACGCCACTCGTGAGTGCCCACCTCGCCCTTCCTTGTGCGTCTGCCTCTTGCTTTGGCCCTTGTGTGGGTCCTTGTGCCTCTCATCGCGCTTGCGGTGCAGTGCGGTTGCAGTGGGTTGCCGTGCTCACATGCCCCTGCCCCTTGGACTGCGTGCACCCCGCCCCCTCTCCACACCTGCACCCCTCCCTGCCGCCTCCCCAACCCCAATGCTCACTCCTCACTCTCCATGTGTCAACCCCCCTGCTCGCCCCCCCCTGCTCGCCCCCCCCTGCTCGCCCCCCCCTGCTCGCCCCCCCCCTGCTGGCCCCCCTCATGGTGGCCCCCTCGTGCTGGCGGCAGTGGAAGCGGACGCCGTGGCGTGGGCGACAGTGCTGACCAACAGCACGTACAACTGCGGGCTGTCGCACGGGGGCAACCCCGGCGAGGGGCAGAACCTGTCGGGCGGGAAACCGGCGGGGCAATTCTCAAGTGCGGAGGCGGTGAGCTGGTGGGTGGGCGAGGGCGACCTCTACAGCCTGGCCGCCGTCTCCAACGGCTGCAGCACCGGCAACTTCTCTGCCTGCGGCCACTACACGCAGGTCAGCTTCTGTTTCTTCTCCCTGCGTCTTACCTGTGTATAGTGCCCAAAGGTCAGACAAGAGATGGTGAGGAGAGATTGTGCTTTCAGGTTGCTGCTTCGAACGGCATGCTGTGTGTTGCTGCATGCGGCTGTGGCTGATTGCTCATCTGCTCCGCGCCTCCTCTCCCCACGCAGGTCATTTGGAACAACACGCGCACGGTGGGGTGTGCCAAGGCGTCGTGTGGCACGAGTGCAGACGTGTGGGCTTGCAACTACTACCCGGCAGGCAACGTTATCGGCCAGCCGCCCTATGGTGAGCCCGACTCCATCCATCCCCACCCACGCCCATGCCTTTCCACCCACCCTTCCATTCCACCCATGCCCCTCCCCACCCTCACCTCAATCTCCCTTTTGTTCCATCCCTCTTCTCCTCTCTCCGCCTCCTCCCTTCTCCACCCGCCCCAACAGTGCAAGACCCGTGCTACCGGGTGGCGTGTCCATCCACAGCGACGTGCACGGTGCGGTACGGGCAGGCGGTGTGTGTGTGTGGGGCGGGGCAGGTGCTCGTCAACAATGCCACGTGCCAGCCCGACCCCTGCAGCAGCGGCACCACCACCTGCCCCGGCAACCTCGTCTGTGACGGCTCCTCCGGCACTGCTCAGTGCGCCTGCCCCACCGGCCTCGTGCCTGTCAGCAACGACACTTGCGTCCGTGAGTGCCCTTAAAGCCGGGGTGCACATTCACCTGTCTGGGCATCAGAGGTTAACCTTTGATGCCCACATTACGGCCAAATTTCGCCCCATCCCCCAAAATTTATGTTCCCCATCCCCCGCAATTTCTGATGTGTAGCCCTGGTTTTAACCCCTCTCCCCTTGCTCACTCAGCAATCTTCTCTGCTCATTTGACTCTTGCTCTACTTCTTCCCTTCTGTGATTGCTCCTCCTCACTGCATACCGCTCAATACTTTGACTCCACTCTGCCTCTCTCGCCCTGCCCTCCCTCCTCTGCCTGGGCCTGCAGCACCGGCGTGTGTGGGGGCGGTGTGTCCGGCGCAGGCGGCATGTGCGGTGGACGGCAGCGGGTATCCGTTCTGCCAGTGCCCCGCGGGGTGGTACCTCAGCAGCAACGTGTGTGTGCAGGGCACACCCACAGCCGTCGCAGCCACCAGCCTTGCCATCTACAACACGGCGTCCTACACCTCCACGGCCCCCGCGCTGGGCCCCACGCTCGTGCGCACGGGGCTGCCCGTCAACTCCACGCGTGCCAGCTGTGTCGACATCCCCGGCGGCATTGCCGCAGCGTCGGTGCGCGTGCTCTGGAACGTGCCCGACAGCACGGGGGCGCTCAAGCAGTCGTGCAGGCTAGTGTACTTCTGGACCAGCACTTCCTGCTACGGGTCTGCAACCGGCTACTTTCGCCCCACCGGCGATGTCACCAACTTCGAGTCAGTCACCTGGCCACGCCCCTGCCCCCGCCTTTGCTTCCTTTCGCATGCTGTCGTTTGCCTGCAGTGTTTATCCGGTGCCCTCTCTGACACTTTTCGGTCTCTGACACTTCTCGCTTTCTGCTGTGCTGTTTCCACTCTCTTTGTGCATGCAGCACCACATCGGGCAACGTGGCCCTCGTCAAGGCCGTTGCCTGCACCAGCTGACCGGCCCCTGCTGCTATACTGTACTCACGGCACCAAACAGCAGCCTTTCGCCCTCAGCTGCTGACGATTCTTATCTGTATCATACATTATTCATTCATTTGATCCCTCTGGTTGTGTTGGCCAGCTTCATTTTTGCGACGGATAGTATGTATAGTTGTGTTTGATTTTTCGGTACGTTAATAATAGATTACTACTGGAACATACACGTTTTCTGACAGAAGACCAAACAGGGTAGGCTCGATTGATCCCAGAGAAGGGTTACATGCTCGCTGACCAAGGGGGTTACCGTCATACCCCGGATATACCCCCATGGGGGGCAATAATAAAACATGTTTTTTTAGGGGGGGTGGGCTTATAATCGGGTAAATTTATAAGCGCCGGCGTTTATAAAACGACATCTATAATTGATATATTTTTTAACACCAAGCTGTAGATCTCATGCTTGCCTTTTCCAATCGAGTCGAAGTTCTGTGAAACTTCTCGCGCGCGCTGGAGATACACCCACTCTGACAGCTCCTGACAGCTTCTGACAGCTTCTGACAGCCCCTGACTGCTCCTGCTGACTGGACCCGCACCCAGTGCAGGGTCCGAATGTGAAGGGAAGCGAATCTGCAACACATTCCCCTGCTAAAGTAGGAATCGTTACAGTGTTTCGAACACAATTCAAAAATTAAAGTTTACGTGAGCTTATAATAAAACAAGTTTTTTCAGGGGGGTGCGCTTATAATCGAGCACCGGATATAAGCGCCGGGCGCCGATTAAAAGCGCCAGGCGCTTATCCGCGGGTGGCGCTTATATCCGGGGTATGACGGTATGTACATACATATCGACCCAAACCCTTTTATCAAAGTGGTGCAGTGGCTCGAAATCTGACATAGTATCAGAGCAAAGGTTTCGTGTTCTAATCCTTACCGTATGTGTGCTGTCGATGTGCCGTGTTCTATGACATCTTTATGAGGGAGGGTGGAATGTCATAAGATTTGCACTGGGGATGCCCGATTGATCATAGAGAAGGGTTACATGCGTATGTGTGCTGTCGATGTGCCGTGTTCTATGACATCTTTATGAGGGAGGGTGGAATGTCATAAGATTTGCACTGGGGATGCCCGATTGATCATAGAGAAGGGTTACATGCTCGCTGACTTGGGGGGTTATGGTCGAACCGACCGATCCATTACTTAACAAGCCATTTTAAGCCGTTACTTAACCGACCAATGAAAGAACTGAAGTGCACCCCAATGTTCCTCCAAGAATTTCGGATGCCATCAACAATTGCCTTGCCACCAACTTGGAATGGTCCTTATTACCAGGTAAACACATGATCGGTCACAAAAATGGAGCTGGACAACACACAACACAACTAGAGGGATAAATGAATGAATTAACTATGGTACAGATAAGGAGCCTCCGCAGACGTATCAGCACTTGCACAGATGAGGGGAAGACTGCAGCTGTGCAATTCGGCCTGGTGTGTGCAGCATGGCAGCAGGGGGCGGTAAGATCAGGTGGCAGCAGGAGGGGGGGCGGTCAGATGGCGCAGGCTACAGCCTTGACGAGAGCCACGTTGCCCGATGTGGTGCTGCATGCACACAGCAAGCAAGGACGGGGGCACGGCACACCAGTGAGTGGCGAGCATTGAGAGAGAGAGACGGAGGGCAATGGACCACCACAGCAAAAAGACAGCTGCTGCTGGCATTGCGAAAAAACGAGCTCATCCGGGGGCAAGGGGCAGGGGGGAGGGGACAGGGGACAGGGGGTGTCATGGCACTGACGCGAAGTTGGTGACGTCCCCAGCGGGGCGGTAGTAGCCGGTGGCGGAGCCGTAGCAGGCGGCGCTGGTCCAGAACCACAGCAGCCCGCACGACTGCTTGAGCGCCCCCGTGCTGTCGGGCACGTTCCAGAGCACGCGCACCGACGCTGCGGCAATGCCGCCGGGGATGTCGACACAGCTGCCGCGCGAGGAGTTGACGGGCAGCCCCGTGCGCACGAGCGTGGGGCCCAGCGCGGGCGCCGTGGAGGTGTAGGACGCCGTGTTGTAGATGGCGAGGCTGGTGGCTGCGACGGCTGTGGGTGTGCCCTGCACACACACGTTGCTGCTGAGGTACCACCCCGCGGGGCACTGGCAGAACGGATACCCGCTGCCGTCCACCGCACATGCCGCCTGCGCCGGACACACCGCCCCCACACACGCCGGTGCTGCAGGTAAAAGAAAAGCAGAGTGGAAGGTGAAGGGAGGTGGAGTGGAAAGCATGAGTGGTGGTGTGCAGTGAAGGGGAGCAAGCACGGAGAGCGGGTGGGTGAGCAAGAGGCGGAGGGAGCAGATGGGGCAGGCAGGGGAGAAGGGAATGGCGAGGGGCACTCACGGACACAGGTGGTGTTGCTGATGGCTACGAGGCCGGTGGGGCAGGCGCACTGGGCAGTGCCGGAGGAGCCGTCACAGACGAGGTTGCCGGGGCAGGTGGTGGAGGCGGTGGTGCAGGGGTCGGGCTGGCACGTGGCGTTGTTGACGAGCACCTGCCCCGCCCCACACACACACACCGCCTGCCCAAACCGCACCGTGCAGGTTGCTGTGGACGGACATGCCACCCGGTAGCACGGGTCTTGCACTGTTGGGGCGGGAAGTGGGGGGGGAGAAGGCGGATAGAGGAGAACAGGGATGGAGGGGAGGGAGAAAGAGGTGAGGATGTGGAGGGGCGTGCGTGGAACGGAAAGGTGTGGGAGCCGAAGAAGGAAAGGAGACTGGCTATGGGCGTGGGTGGGTGGAGATGGATGGAGCCATAATTGGCTCACCGTAGGGCAGCTGGCCGCCGTAGTTGCCGGGAGGGTAGTAGTTGCACGCCCACACATCTGCTTTCGTGCCGCACGAGGCCTTGCCACAGCCGACAGTGCGCGTGTTGTTCCAGATGACCTGCGTGTAGTGGCCGCAGTCAGCCCAGTTGCCGGTGCTGCAGCCGCCTGAGAAGACGGCGTACGAGTACAGGTCGCCCTCGCCCACCCACCAGCTCACCGCCGCCCCGTTCGAGTAATACCCCGCCGGACTGCCGCCCGACAGGTTCTGCCCCTCGCCGGGGTTGCCCCCGTGCGACAGCCCGCAGTTGTACGTGCTGTTGGTCAGCGTTGTTGCCCATGCCTGCGCCTCCGCCGCCACTGGGATGAGCACGAGGGGGACGAGCATGAGGGGACGAGCATGAGGGGAGGGTGAGACATGGAGAACGAGGGGAAGGAGGACGAGGAGGGGCGTTGAGACAAGGAGAGCAAGGAGTGGGGACTGGGGCTTGAGAGGCGGCAGGGAGGGGTGCATGTGTGGAGAGCAAGGGCTCTAAGAGGCACAAGGACGCACACAAGGGCCAAGCCAAGAGGCACAGGCACGAGGAGGGCGAGGAGGGGCAAGAGGCACTGACGGGAGGCGTTCCAGACGAGGGGGATGGAGCCCACTGCCGCCCTGGCCGCATTCTGGTTGTCCAGATAGTCCGAGAAAGGCAACGATGCTGCTCGGCACGCAGGGGCGAGGCGCAGGGGGTGGTGGAGGCATGGAGGGAGTTGCTTGAGGGAATGAGGGGGAGAGATAAGGTTTGGAAAACTGCAGTGCAAGCAGCAGGGAGCAGAACAGGAGAAGAGAAGGGAGCAGGGCAAGGGGGGCGGAGAGCAAGGGGCCAGGAGGAGAGGAGGTAAAGGGGGGAGCAGCAGAGCAGCAGCACGGACCGTTGGAGCACTTGTTGTCGATGAGTCGCGTGTAGGGCGGAGGGCACGTGCAGACGGGCGCACCGAGCATGAATGTGCACTTGGAGACGTCGGGGCACTTCACCCCGTAGCACAGGTCTGGTCTCGCGATTCGTGGGAAAAGAGCGGGAAGAAGTGGGGACGGAGGTAGAGGGAACAGTGAGCAAGGGAGTGAGCATGAGGGCATGGGGCGGGGAGAGGACAAGGCGAGGAGAAAGCAGCGGAGAAGGCAGACAGGCGCAGGACGCAGGGCAGAGGACGGGGGAAGAGGGGGCACGAGAGGCAGCACTGACCATTGGGGCAGTCGCACTTGGCGACGCCGCTGGCGGAGGAGCACGTGCAGTTGGCAGGGCATGTCACCAACGAGCAGGGTGCGGCCGCTGGTGGGAGGAGGGGGGGGAGAGGGGGAAGAAGGAAAGGGAGGAAGAGGGCAGGGGGTTTAGGAGTGGAAAATGGGAGGCGAGCGGTGCGCGTGGAAGTGAAGGGGTGCGTTGGTGAGCAAAGCAGCGGCCGAGAGAGGGAAGGTGGGAGGGTGAAAGGCCGAGAGGGCCGAGAGGGTGAAAGGGGCAAGAAGGGAAGGAAGGGGAAAGGGGGAGGGCGAAAGGGGCGTACGCTGGCAGGCGCCGCTGACGAGGGTGTAGCCCACGGCGCACACACACGTGGCCACGCCATTCACGTTGCTGCACGTGGCCTTGGCTGGACACGTGGTGGTTGTGCAGGGGTCCGTGATTGCTGCACGCACCAACAGGGGCCAGGGGGAGGGAAAACAAGGGGTTTGTGGGGATGGGTCAGGGGAGGAGAAGGGTCTACACGCAGTGCTGGCATGGGCGTGGGGAGCGAGAAGGAGATTCACTCACCAACGCACTGGCCGTTGGTCATCTGGTAACCGGCAGAGCACGTGCACATGGCGGTGCCATTGACATTGGAGCATGCTGAGTTGGCGGGACAGGTGTACCCCGTGCAGGGGTTGGGCACTGGCGTTGTGTCAAAGGGAAAGGTACCGGGTACAAGCAGGAAATGAACGGTTATGGCAAGACGCAAGAGAGAAATCGGAGGTGAACAGAGTTGACCGGGTAAAGGAGAAATGGCAAGGAATGGAGAGAGGAGGTACAGAAAGTGAGTGGAGGAAAGGAAGACAGAAAAGAGAGTCGGGGGGGAGGAAGAAAGAGGAGAGGTGAGCGTTGATAAGCAAGATTGAAGGGAGTCAACTCACCGACGCACTGGCCGTTGACCATCTGGTAACCAGTGTTACACGTGCACGTGGCGGTGCCATTGACATTGGAGCATGCTGAGTTGGCGGGACAGGTGTACCCCGTGCAGGGGTTGGGCACTGGTGTTTGGGAGGGGGAAAATACGACGCAAACAAGTATAGGGCTCAAAAGTGGAGAATGGGGGAAGGCGGGGCGAATGGTCGAGAGAGGAAGTGAAAGAGGAGAGAGTCAGTGTGTGTGGGTGTGAGATAACGGAAGGACAGGTGGAGGGAGCAGGAGATGCAGAGATACTAAGTGAGAGCGGGGAGAGTTGACTCACCAACGCACTGGCCATTGACCATCTGGTAACCAGTATTGCACGTGCACGTGGCGGTGCCATTGACGTTGGAGCATGCTGAGTTGGCGGGACAGGTGTACCCCGTGCACGGGTTGAGCACTGGCGTTTGGGGGAGGGAAAAGAAGAAAAATCGCATTGGCCATTTTCAGTAATTTGCAGCAAGAGACAAGAGAGAATGGAGGTGAGGAGGGTAGTACGGGGGAAGGAGCGAATGGCTGAGAGAGGGAGGGAGGGGAGGGTACAGGAGGTGGAGAGAGGGAGTGGGGGAAAAGGAGGAGAGGAGTTGAGAGAGAGAGAGAGAAGAATAGGACTCACCGACACACTGGCCATTGACCATCTGGTATCCGGTATTGCACGTGCACGTTGCGACGCCATTAACGTTGGAGCATGCTGAGTTGGCGGGACAGGTGTACCCCGTGCACGGGTTGGGCACTGGTGTTTGGGAGAGGGGAGAGGAAGGGAACACACAGAAAAAGCCGGGGGTGAGAAGCGAAAAATGTGGGACGCAGGGGCGAATGGTTGAAAGGGGAAAAGTGAAGAAAGAGATACAGTGTAGGGGGGGCAGCGGAAGCAGGGGGAGAGGGAAAAGGAGAGGTGGGGGTTTGCAGAGTGAGGGAAGGCAGTTAACTCACCCACGCACTGGCCGTTGACCATCTGGTAACCAGTGTTACACGTGCACGTGGCTACACCGTTAACATTGCTGCATGCTGAGTTGGCGGGACAGGTGTACCCTGTGCACGGGTTGGGCACTGGTGTTTGGGAGGAGGGAAGGCAGGGAAACCAGCAGATATTCGTGTTGGTTAGGAACAAGAGATAAATCGGAGTTAAGGGGAGAAGGAAAAGGATGGAGGGGAGAAGTGGGGAGCAGAAGAGGAGGAAAGAGGGAGAAGAGATAATTGGAAAGGAGAGAGTGGAGGCTTGGGGGGTGAAGGATAGGTGGAGATTCACAGAGTGAGATCAAGACAGTCAACTCACCCACGCACTGGCCGTTGACCATCTGGTAACCAGTGTTACACGTGCACGTGGCAACTCCATTGACATTGGAGCATGTTGAGTTGGCGGGACAGGTGTACCCCGTGCACGGGTTGGGCACTGGCGTTTGGGAGAGGGGAGAGCAAGGGGAAAATGAATCAAAAGTGGCTAGAGGAAAGTGAGAAATCGGAGGTGAGGAGAGGACGGTGGAGGTACGGCATGGAGAGGAGAAAAGGTGGAGAGATTGGGGAAACATAAAACAGGAGAGAGTAATGGGTCGGAGGGGAGGAGGAAAAGAAGGCTAATCAAGTGAGAATCAACGGAGGTGACTCACCCACGCACTGGCCGTTGACCATCTGGTAACCAGTGTTACACGTGCACGTGGCAACACCGTTGACGTTGGAGCATGTTGAGTTGGCGGGACAGGTGTACCCCGTGCACGGGTTGTTCACTGGCGTTTGGGGAAAGAGAGCGAAGGAAAATGAAATTGAATTGGTGAGAGGACGGGACAGGATCTAGGGAGGGAAATGGAGAGGAAAAGAGGTGAAGAGATTTGTGGAGATATAAATGGAAAGGTGAGTTTGGAGGGTTGGTGGGGAGGAAGAGAGGTAGGATAATGAAATGGATAACGGAGCTAACTCACCCACACACTGGCCGTTGACCATCTGGTAACCAGTGTTGCAGGTGCACGTGGCGACGCCATTGATGTTGGAGCATGCTGAGTTGGCGGGACAGGTGTACCCCGTGCACGGGTTGGTCGTTGTTGCTGGTAGAAGGGGGAGAATGGGGAGAAGGGAAAGTAGGGGCAGAAGGGGTGGAAGAGAGTGAGGACGCGGGTTGCATGGCGCTCTCGCCGCATTGCGCAGCGCCGCTGTGAACCATGATGATGACTCACCAACGCATTGCCCGCCGACCATGCTGTATCCAGCGTTGCACGTGCACACGGCGGCACCGTTGATGACGGAGCATGCGGCGTTGGCGGGGCAGGTCTTGGTGGCGCAGGGGTACGTGTTGGTGGCGATGGCGGCCTGGCACGAGATGGACCTAGCCGTTGCGATGATGCCGCTCGTCGACCTGCACTCACGAGGACACACGCAGCAGTCACAGTCAGTTCATGCAGTCAACGGCACCGCGAGAAGAGTCAGTGGTAGGAAGGAATGCGGGTGCATAGGGAACGGCGCGCTGGGAACGGGGCGCGGGGAAGGGAGTGCGGCGGGATGGGGCGGGGAGCGGCTCACTTGACGGAGGTGGTGGCGTAGGTGAAGGTGTTGGGGTTGACGGCGGTCCACCCGCCGGGGATCTGGTAGCCCGAGCCGGAGCAGCAGCAGTTGGGTTTGTCCCAGAAGAAGAGCTTGCCGCACACCAGGTGGTCCGCCACGCCGTCGTTCACGTTCCACATGATGCGCAGCGACCCTATCGTGCCGTTGAACGCGCCCGACAGGTTCACGCACGCGCTCGTGTTCGGCGCCGCGCCGCGCAGCACGGCGGGCGCGAGGGTGGAGGGCGAGTTGACGTAATTGCCCTTGTTGTAGAGCACCACGTTGGTGCCGACCTCCGCCCAGCTGGCGGCCGGCGCGCACGCGCCGTTGATGATGGCCTGCCCCGCCGCGCACTTGCAGAAGGGGTAGCCGCTGCCGTCCACCGCGCACGTCGCGCCCGCCGGACACACCACGCCCGCGGGGCACGACGCTGCGGGGGGGGGATTTTGGGAGGCGGGAGTGGGAGCACGGGCGCGCGGGCGGTGGAATGCTCGAAGTGGCGCGAGGGGAAGGGAAACAATTGCGGCCGTTCCTGGCGAGAGTTTTAAGGCTTGAAGCTGTCGAAACATTCCATCGACGGCGGTCCGGCCTGTGGAATCCGCAACGGCGATGCCGCGTGACAAACGGGCGAACTGACCTTGCAGCTCGCGACGGCTGCTAGCGGCGGCGTCCTCTTCGGCGGGAGGCGAGATGCGCGCAGCAGCGAGGCGATGCGAAGATAGTAGGCATGCGTGCAGCAACAGTAGGAGTACGACCGGCCTCATTCTCTCGGTCAGTAATTGCAATGCGATGTTGGATACGGGGAACACGACCAGGGCGCGGTAGGTGACACACACAACTGTAAGAGCTGGTTCTGTAAAAAACCTCTTCTTTCACCCGGAGAATGGCTGGGGGGGGCTAAAATCATGGGCTGATGATTGATATAGAGACACACAGACAAGCAGCTTCTGTCCAGGTAATGCACAGATTTCCCGATCACCGCCGCCGCTAACCACTACTGATTCGGGTTCCATCTGATCACCTCCGCTCCTCACAGTCTCACAGAGCAATTCCGCTCCTCAACTAACTGTATTTGTCGCATACAATCTACCATGCCGTAACTGTACCAGACGTTTTCCGCTTGACTGAGGGCCAAGTGAAGGAGAGCTTCCCGTTTCCGCCGACATGTACAGTACGAATGCCCGTTCGTCATAACGGCGGTTTTGTGCGTGAATACTACGCCAACTGGTGGTCGCAGGGGTGTGACGTGGTCGAGTGAACTTGTGGTTGGTTTGTGTATACACTTGCCCTCTCGTTCTCAATTGCGGCGCATTGAACTTCTTGTTCCCGATTGCGGCGCGGATGTTGTTGGGCTGGGCTTTGGTACACAGTTCTGTTTAATAGTAGCATTCATGCGTTTCACTTGAACACGGATTTTTGAACCTGGGCTGTAGGAACTTGGAACTGCGTTTGCTAAAAACATCTCAGGTCTTGAACAACGAGGGAAAGGGATGAATGGTGAATCAAGTGCTAAAAAAGACCACGTTATTCGTATACCATAGCTGATGAGGACAGGAGTACTACAATAGACAAGTCGAGCAAAACAACAGAGAATGCAAAGGGAGTGAGGGAGACCAACCAAGATTTTATGATGTCTGAAGCACCCTATTCCCGAAAGTTTGTTACTATGAAACCCTGCAGTGCCGTGAAAATGAGGAAGACAACAAGTCTCTACATTCCTGAACTTGGCATGGCCATATTCGTGTCTGCTGGTTGTGCTGTAGGTGCCTGTGGCTGAGCAACCTGTGCCTGCCCATAGTCGCCAAAGCTGCCAACGGGGGCACCGTTTCCTCCTGCAGAGGCTTCACTGCCAGCGCCGCTCACAGCGCTGGGGACAACCGGCTGAGATGCAGCTGGGGCCATCTGCTGCTGCATCATCTGCTGGCCCTGCGAGTACGCCTGCTGTTGGTCCTGGGGGGCAGAGACTGTCTGCTGCGGGGCCATCTGCAAGGGTTGCTGTGGCGTCTGAAGTGGCTGCTGGATTGGCTGAGCTGGCTGAATGGGCTGCATTGGCTGCATCTGCTGCGGCTGCGACTGCTGCGGCGGCTGCTGATATGTAGGCTGCTGCTGAGGTTGCAGCGCCTGTTGCTGCGGTTGTGGCTGCTGGGGCTGCTGTTGCTGAACAGGATACTGCTGCGCTGGTTGCTGGTACTGCTGTGTTGACTGCTGGTACGGTTGTGGCTGAGCCTGCTGCTGGAACTGCTGCTGCGGCGACTGCTGGTATTGTTGCTGCGCTTGCTGCTGGGCAGGAAGGGATTGCTGAGGCTGTTGTGGTGCTTGCTGGTATTGCTGCTGCTGCGGTTGTTGCTGCTGCTGCGGTTGTGGTGCTGAGATGCTGTGCTGCTGCTGCTGCTGCTGCTGGGGCTGCTGCTGCTGCTGCTGCTGCTGCTGCTGCTGCTGTGGCTGCTGCTGTTGAGCAGGGGCAGGGGGCTGCTGCTGTGCTGGCTGATACTGCACTTGCTGTGGTTGCTGGGTGTATTGGACCTGCTGGCCTGGAACTTGAGCTGCTGGGACAGGCTGCGCCGCTGCCGAAGGCTGTGTGTACGCCTGACCTGGCTGAACCGTTGGAGCCTGCGCAGAAGACAAAACAGCATACATTGATAAGAGATTATTTTCAGAATTAAGGAGACATTTCGCTAAAAGGCTGACTGAAAGCAGAGGTGCATGGGTAACTAGTTGATGTTATCCGGTACCTGAGGAGGAGGAACTTGAGGCTGCGCATCAGCGATCGCAGCTAGATACATAAGATTCTGCTGAAGCCTAGCCTGGTATCTGCAATACAAAAACAGATTCGTTATGCATACGTACATGTCACAGTTCTCCCTTTAAAATCAAATCCATATGAGCTACTTACTGTGCGCATTCATTAAGTTTTCCCAAATTTTGATTGTCGAGGATCGCAAGGATCAGCTGCTTATTCTCGTCCAGATACTGCACGACCAAGAATCCAGAAGTAAGTTGCGAGATACGAATATAAAGCGCAACCGAAGACAAAATAAAGATGTAATACCTTTTGTATAAGTTCAGTGGTAATAACATTCCCGGAATAGGGCGACGACTGCACTGGCATCGCCATGAAAGCGAGAGTATAAGCTTTCCTTGAGAATAAGGGTGAGGCTGGAGCGAGCAAGCAGCAAGAAAGCGTGCGAGCAAAAACGGGATGCAAGATTTGAATCGAAGATTCGAATGGAAGGTTGTGGGAGGTGGGGTTTCAGGAAAACGATGTGCGTTACGATTGGTGGGAGCGGGTTTCACCGGCAGGTTGTGACAGAAAATGATGGACGCACATTGGTTGAGTTGGAACTGGAATGTTTTGTAACACAAATTTCCGCCGTTGGATAAGAGGGGAACGTACGGCGTAGCTGGCGTATGCAACCCTCGCCCCACACCAAATTGCAGCAACGAAATGTGACACTCAGAACTTCCAACCTATGCTTCACTTGCGTGGCTCCCTAGCCTCCCGCCTCTGGAATCTTCACTGTTTGTGAAGCGGCCATGGCCTCCGCCTGCCTATCCAACGTCATTTCTGGCATTGCTGCTAAGGTAGTTAGACTCGCTTACGTCCTCAAGGCAGCATGCAAATTTCGCTGTTTCTACGCTCGGCGGTGAACATGATACTCACTCGAAATTGTTGTATTCGTGCAGGCTTCGTTCCTCCCTGAATCCTGCTGTATTAACCATAATTCGAAGGTCAGATATTCAAATCCAGTCGCGTTTCCTAGCCAACGCATTCGAAAAACAACCGTTCGGGCCAGCAATGAGGTGGGGGTCTCAGATGAACTCACGGTCACATTCCCTAAGTCGAAGCTGGTGGTTCCTTACCCTGATCACGAGGCGAAGGTGTACATAAGCCGCGAAGAATCTCCATCCGAGGTGGCCTCCGCGGTGGCGGAGTACATTCAGCGGCTTTCGGCTGAGGCGACGAAGGCCAGGGGTGCTTTCACCGTTGCGCTATCTGGGGGCTCGCTGGTCAATGTATGTCTCAGCTATTTCTACTTTGTGAGCCATACGCCTACAGAATCGTGTAATTGAATGCTCATGGTTCCTGGTTGCAGGCTCTTCTGAAGCTGACTGAAGAACCCTTCAGATCGTCAATAGACTGGAAGAATTGGCACGTCCTGTGGGTGGATGAGCGTGTGGTAAAGCTTTCGAGTCCTGACAGTAACTACAAGCTCGCGATGGTGGGTACCTGGGGCAGCTGTCAATGGTTGAATTCAAGGGTGCTGATGTACTTTCAGAGCATTTGGCAACTCTGCAGGACGAGGTGCTATCGAAGGTTCCCATTCCTGAGGAGCATATTTACTCTATTGATGACGAATTGTCTGTTGTGGAAGCTGCAAGCGACTACGAGGAACTCATGAAGTACGTGGCGGCCTTCAGTAGCATGTTGCTTACGTTGTTGCTGTGTGAAAGAAACCTTCATTTGATTAACATCATAACGTATCATCCTTCAGAGAGCTTGTGGAGGAGGGCGTCCTCAGGACAACACAGGGTGTGCCGTTTCCTCGCATTGACCTGGTGAGAACCCTTGCACTCAGTGATATTTGATTGCCCACAAGTGGCCAATCCTGATGGGACCTTTTGGACTGTGCAGATTCTGCTTGGATTCGGTCCTGATGGCCACATGGCTTCACTCTTCCCCAACAGTCCGCTGTTGCGTGAAACATCAAGATGGGTGCTTCCTGTCACAAATTCACCAAAACCACCTCCAGAACGGATTACCATGACACTCCCTGTCATCAACTGTGCCTCAAATGTGAGTGTCTGTTTGTGTTCCACTGCAGTGACTTGTTCCCTGACCAGTGCTTGCTGCTGCTGACACATTGATTGTGGTTGTGATCAGGTTGCATTCGTTGCAGCAGGGAAGGGGAAAGCTGAGGTGGTGCAGAGAATCTTTGGGAGGCTTGCTTTACCGGGTGCACTGCCTGCCCAGCTGGTTCGTCCTTACAGTGGACCAGTCACTTGGTTTGTGGATTCAGCCGCAGCTTCCAAGCTGCCTGCATAGGCAAAAGGTAATGCATTCCAGAAACAATAACAATTTTGAACAGTGGGAGACCCTTTCGTAACTACTTGAAAAACAACACTTCAGGTACTAGAGAATGGAATCCAGCCAAGGATTAGAACAGCTGGCTTCCAATGCCAATCCCGAGGTCATCAGCAAGCCCATCCCAAAGTGGCAGAAGTGTGCCAACTGCCAGAGCAATTGCCGCAACTAGGACCGCCTGCCTCTGCCAGCCAACCCCTGAGACGTCATTTAATGCAGGCTTCTCAAAGTCCCTCTGGTGGACAACGGGAAGCATGAGGAGAGGAGGACCACTTAAATGCCTGGGGCACCAACAGGACAGTACTTCGGTGCAAATTCAAAGGCCACGCATTTTGGGCATGATGTTCACAGAACCATACCTGAAGAAAGAGGACGTATAGACCAAAAGGCAACGAAAAGGGTCCCCCAAGCTGCAAGCAGGCCAGAAACAGGGTCCAAACAAGCAGGGAGGCATCAGTGCACAGGAGGATAGGCTCTGAACAGGCTCAAATAAAACAGTCTTCCAGGTACGAGTGAAAGGCTGCTTGTGGATTCACTCACCAAGCCAAGCCCCAGAAGTCCGTACGTAACGAGGCTAGTGATGCCCACAGTGTCACGCCCAAATGCAGCCTGGTTGCATGCAAATCCAGGAAGGCACGCGCTTGGAAGCATGTGAGGTGAATGCAAGGATTGACAAAAGCGAGTAGCCAGCCAGTATCAACAACCGAGACATCCAGGCATGAAGTCAAACGCAGTGGGAGTCATACCTGTGTGGCCCGTCCGCCGTCAATCCGACCTGCTGGTAACAGATTGAGAGCAGAGGTGGTCAAGCCACACCTGTGGCAGCAGGAAAACGGCAGGGTGGTGGAAGGGTAGTGTGTGCTTGGCATGGTGAGGCAATGGAGCAGGAGGATGGACCACAGGCCGGGCAAGGTTCCGAGATGCACGCATCGCAAGCAACATGGGGCACTTGAAGGTGATGGTGGTCGGGCGTGAGAAGAAACGGAGCAGAGGCACGTACCATCCAACAATGACGAGTGGATGGATGGTAATTGCCTGCACGTGCATCAAGCTGAGTGGAAGCACAGGGGGTAAGGGCACATGATACAGGGCTTGATTGGGGCATATACGTGCAAAGAAAGGGTGTGAGGAGAGGCTTACTATTGCTCCGCCCTCTTTTCAAAACCCTAAAAAACACTCCCACTCGTATCCCAGCACCACTCTGCACTCACTCATATCCAAGCACCCTCTGCACTCACTCATATCCAAGCACCCTCTGCACTCACTCATATCCCAGCACCACTCTGCACTCACACATAACCCAGCACCACTCTGCACTCACTCGTATCCCAGCACCGCTGTGCACTCACTCGTATCCCAGCACCGCTGTGCACTCACTCGTATCCCAGCACCGCTGTGCACTCACTCGTATCCCAGCACCGCTGTGCACTCACTCGTATCCCAGCACCACTGTGCACTCACTCGTATCCCAGCACCACTGTGCACTCACTCGTATCCCAGCACCACTGTGCACTCACTCGTATCCCAGCACGGCACGGCACAGTGCGCCGAGCAGCAGGGAGCCCTGGAAGAGCTGTGAGGGCACCTGCACCAGCGACTCCTGCAGCCCTGGCAGCGCTGCCAGCGGGCCCGATGGCGGCAGCGAGAGGGCAAGGCCCGTCGCAAACATGGCAAGCGACAGTGCTGCACCGGCCAGTGGGCCGGCCATGGCAATGTCAAAGAGAGCAGTGCGGTCGGGACAGGGGCTCTTGATCTGGAAGGGAGGAGACGAGGGAGACATTGCATGAGAGAGAAGGGGTGTGTGAAAAGAGAGAAACGGAAGTGCTTGAGGCATGAGGGAGGGGAAGGGATGGAGGAGTGCAAGAGGCCAAACTGCATGAGGGTATGGCAGAGGAGAAGGAAGCAGCTAGAAAGGCCAGAGCCATCCAGGTTCACCGCACCTGAGTGATGGCCCCGAAGCTCCCGATGGTGATGTTGGGGATAAGGTACGGGATGCCGAGCCTAACCCGCTTCTGTGCTGCCGTCAGCCAGTGTGCCACCTCCTGGTGTGGTTTGGTAGGGTGAAGTGAGTTGTTGGCAGGGAGAGAAAGCTGAAGGTGAGAGGGCGAGGCGGGTCCATGTAAAGGGACATTCTTCGATGTGAGGGAGTCGGAGACATGGAATAGGCATGCATGCACGTGGAATAGCCACGTGGGAAACTTGCACTCACGTGAAAGAGCAGCACTCACGTGAAAGAGCAGCACTCACGTGGAAGAGCAGCACTCACGTGGAAGAGCAGCTCTCACATGGAAGAGCAGCTCTCACGTGGAAAGGCCCTCCTGTCCTACATCCATCTTTGCACTCACATGGAAGACTTGCACGCCAAAGACCCCGTAGGCGATGGGCAGGGCGTTGCGCACGAAGGGCGCCAGCACCGTCACGTCAGGCGGGGTCAGCTCCTCGGGATTGGGCGACGTGAAGTAGCGAATCACATCGGGCGGCACCTTGGAGATCTGGATGGCACGCACGGGGGGAAAGGGTGGGCGTGGGTGAGTCGTTGGAGTGATGGTACTGCTGCTTACAGTACAGCTCACCTCTGCTCCTCTGCACTCGCACTCAATTTATTCCGATTTGCCCCAGTGCCAATCATGTGCACCACCACGCCAGACCCCTTCCAACCATCCCAGCCACAAGTACCCGCTCCTCTTCCCCACTTTTTCACCCCTCTCCGCCCCCTCTGCTTCCCCCACCTGGCTGGCGAGCCCCAGTTCAAGGCACGCCCCCCCGGTGAGCGCGAGCAGCAGCGCGGCGAGGGCGAACTGCCACGCGGAGGTGGCGCGGCCCTGCAGCTGCTCCGCGCGCACCACCACCATGGCCACGCGCTCCTCCTTCCCCTCCCCCTCGCTGGGCGCCGCGCCCGGCTTGCGCGGCTCGTTCACCATGAGCAGCTCGTACTTTCCGCCGAACAGCAGCCGCATGCCCGCGCGCAGCTTCGCAAACACCTCCTCCTTGGGGCCGCGCAGGTTACCCTGTAACAGCACGGCTTCGCCTGCCTCGCCAAAGGGCTCCTGGCCCGTGACGAAGAAGGTGGAGTAGCCGAAGAGCTTGGCGCGCAGCAGCGCCACGTCATCCGCGTCCACCTTCTCGGGCCCCAGCAGCGCCACCACCGCGTACGAGTCCAGCTGCACGGGCGCGGGGGGTGATGGCGGGGCGGCAGACGGCGGGGGAGGCGGAGAGGAGGATTCGGACGGTTTACTGCCGGCTTCGTCGCCGGGCAGAGTGCCGACGGCCTTGGGCTTGTCTTCGTCCTTCTCTCCCCCCTCCTGCCCCGCCGCGCGCACCACGGGCGCACGCCGCCTAGCTGGCTGTGGCCGCAGAGGAACACGCGCGCGCGTTAGCGGATTCGATGTTAACCGCAGCGGAGTGGCCGCTGGCCGTAGCGTGGAGGCGAAAGGCGAGAAGGCGGACGAAGCGGGGTTCCATGTCGGCGCGATTGGGGAGCACGACGCAGTGCGGGGCGGAGAGGCAGTGGCGGGGTTGGCGATGTGCGGGCAAGGCACGACACGAGCCATGCTCCGCACACGCGGACGCGTCGGACTGCCGGTCGCTTGCGGTGCGTTGAAATATGATATGTAACTATGTCGTGTACGTGGCGATGCGCAGAGGCAGGAATTGGGCGCAAAGTGGAAATGCACGAATGTGGGCTGAAATACGACAATCGCGGGGAGCGAAGATGGTGAGCGGGGCTGGACAGGCTTGCTGATTCGCGCTCGCGAATCTAGAAAGTGAGTGGTAACCAGATATTTGGAACCTTCTCTCAACATTCGAGATGGTATGTCGCAAACTAGCTCGCGAAGACGACCTGGCGAAATCAGGGACGAGTAACATGATATATTACACAACTCACTGCTACGATTAACTTCAATTTCCTTCCCTTTCACAGCTAAACTAGAAGCGTCCCCTATAAGAATCTGTGTACTAATTTATTAAAAAATTTCGCCTAACCCTCCCTAGCTTGTCAATTTTGGCGATAAGCAATGAAGTCAGCAAGGCCGATGAGGGGAGCCGCCTTGTGCTGGTCGAATGTGCTGAGCTGCTCCTTGGCCTTCCGAATCAGCTCCTCCGCCAGCTCCTTGGACTTCTCCAGCCCCAGCAACCTTCACGAGATGAGGGAGGGGCGAGGAAAGGGAAGTGATGGCAGGGTTATGGGTTGAGAGAGAGGAGGAAGGACAAGAAGAGATAACGATTAACAAGCATTTCCCTCAACTCCACCTGAGAATTCGACAGGAGCAAGGGGTCCACCATGCACCGGAACAGAGAGGACTCACTTGAATAGGTGCTTTTGTCTAGAGGGCTTGCTTGCAGAAGGTGGATAGGTCTAAAGGGGCTCACTTGGGGTTGGTGATTTTGTCTCACTTGAAGTGGTTTGACTTATTTGGGGTAGGTAATTTTGTCTTACCGGAAATAGGTGGTTTTGTCTCACTTGAAGTAGGTGGTTTTGTCTTCACTTGTGGTGGGTGGTCTTGTCTCACTTGAAATAGGTGGTTTTTGTCTCACATGGGAAGGGAAATTTTGTCTCACTTGGGGTAGGTGGTTTTGTCCTGTGCGAGGTCCTTGCCGGCCGTCTTGCCGAGCTCCTCCGTGGACTTGGTCACGTCCAAAATGTCGTCCACCACCTGCGCTCCCCGCCACCCCGCACGCACGCACGCACGCACACAGGGGAGCAAAGGGGAAGAAAGGGCAGAGGAGGGGAGGGTTGGGGTGGGAAAGTGAGGGGAGGAGTGGGGAGATAGTGGGAGGGAAAAGAATTGACTTTTGGGACTCCAGTGGTGGTGTGGGGGGCAATCATGACGTGAGTGGAATTTGTTTGCATGGGGTAGGTCTTGTAAGCCTATACCATAGCAATGGGGCAATGCAAGCATGGGGAGGAGTGGAGAATGCAGTGGCACGTGTGGCAAACGCCGTACTGTGTGCTGCCATACATGGCATGACATGTCCGTGCCCAGGCTCAGTTTGGACTGCCTGTGCACCTTCACATCCCTTGGCGGCACCGCTGCAGCCTCAACCCCAAACCCCGTTTTACATTCCCACCTGAAGATCACCCACCCACCCACCTCCAAGTGGGAACCCCATTTCCCCCTTTCCACTTGGAAGACAGCCTTCCCCCCTCTTCACCTAGAAGCCGAGCCCCACGAACTGGCTCACCTGGAAGCCGAGCCCCACGAACTGGGCGTACTTGCGGAGGCGCTCCACCTGGTCGTCGCTGGCGCCGCCCAGCACGGCGCCCGCCACCACCGACACCTCCAGCAGCGCCGCCGTCTTGTGCACGTGGATGTACTCCAACGTCTCCACGCCCACCGGGTTAGTTGCGCTCTCCAGATCCACGATCTGCCGCGTGTACATGGGGGGGGAGAGGGGGAGGCAAGGGGGCGACGACGAGGCCGTGGAAGCACGATAAGACACACTTAGTCCCCATTCGTTCTCGCTCACACATCTTTTGCACACTCCCTCTCTCAGTGCTTTCTCCCGTGAACCATGTTCGGCAGCCCTGAGCCTCTCGTGCTAGCGTCTACTATAAGTTTTATTGCCAGAGCACTTCGCAAACCCTCACGCTGCAGCCCCTCATCCCCAATCCAATGGCCCGCTGCTTCTGGAGGCGTTGAAACCGCAAGACCGCCATGGATTGCACTCGAACGCACCATCTCACGATTTAACTCCCCCCCCCTGCGCCCCCCGCCCTCCCCGGCCCTGCGCGCGCACCTGGCCCGCGACGAGTCCCTCGGAGCCGACGGCCTTGCCCATGTCGGCGATCACGCGCACCACGCGCTCCGCCGGCACGGACGAGGGCGTCGCGCGCGCCACGTGCTCGAAGGCGAACGACAGCAGCGCGTCGCCCGCCAGCACCGCCACGTCCTCGCCGTACACCTGGGGGGGGGGCGGAGGATGCGGGGAGAAGGAGGGGGAGGGGATAGAGAGGGGGAAACGTGGGGACGGTGAGGGCACGAGAGGACGGAACAAAAAAGGCGGTGGGATGAAGGGCGGGCTGACAAGGCGAGGCTTTCGTGGCTGGTTTCCTTTCACCTCTCCGTTCGACCGTGGCGAATTTCCCACTTCCACCCCCATCCCCTAACAATCCCTTATTCCCATCCCCCGCCTCTCCCTAAATTTCCGTAAGTGAAGTTTCCGCCCAAGAGCGTGCGTGGAGGTGCGGCGGACCTTGTGGTTGGTGGGTTTGCCGCGGCGGAAGTCGTCGTTGTCCATGCAGGGCAGGTCGTCGTGGATGAGCGACATCGTGTGAATCATCTCCATCGCGCACGCCGCCGCCATCGCCACCGAGTCGCTGCCGCCCACCAGCTCGCACGCCGCCAGGCACAGGCACGGGCGCACGCGCTTGCCGCCGGCGAGCAGCGAGTAGCGCATGGCCTCGTGGATGCGCTCCGGGTACTGCAGCGGCACCGCCGCGTCCAGCGCCGCGTTGACCGCCTTGGCCTTGGCGTACATGTACGCCTCGAAGTTGAAGGGCGCTGCGCAGTCGACATGCGGGGACGGCGACACACGCGGGGAAGGGGCGTGACGGGAGGATAGCGAATCGCGCCGGACGGCGGGATACAAGGGGGAAGCAAGCGGAGGGTAAGGGGAAGGAAAGAGGAAGGCAAGGTGCTGCGATTGTGGAAGTCGATGACCCGCGGGGAACACATGCGGAGTCAGCACGTTCGCGCGGCCTGGCCTATTCAAACTCGACAAATGAATCAGCAGCTATAACATATACGTCATCACATGCGGATTTGCTCGTGGCAAGAGCTCGCAATTTCGATTCTCTAAAAATGCCGCCTTTTCCTGATCGTACAGCCCAATTGCGGTGACGAGAGAACAGCAGCTGACCTGGCACGGCGGCCTGCTCCTCCACCTGCACCTCCTCCACAGCCTTGGCCGCCACGCGCACCGCCGCTCTCCGCCGTTGCGGCCGCACTGACGCGCGCTGTGGGGCGGCGAGCGCCAGCTGGCGCGCGGCGGCGGCTGTCGAGTGTGAGGACGACATCGGCGCGCAGCGGGCCTCGAGGCCGCTGGATGGTCTGGCGAGTAGCGCCTTGGACGCTGCGAGCGACGCCATTTCGATTCGTGTCAAAGCGGAATGGGCAAGGCGTGCACGGCAAGGAACAGCGCAAGACACAGCGGCGGCAGGTATGCACGCGTGGTGCTCTCCTGATACTCCCGAGACACGGGGAAATCAGCCGAAAAGAGAGAGGCCACGGAAACGAATTCGGGCGCGACCGAAGGGAGTGCGCAATCCCAAGGTGCGTGGCAGCGGGTGGTGTGCGGTGATGAGGGACTCGAGGGAAAAAACCAGAGCAGGAGAAGAGATAACTTCTAAGGACGCGTCACGAGGAGAAGCTTAGCGTTTCGCACCTTTGCGTCGCCTCAACCGCAACAATCCCAAATCCCAATGTGCGGGAAGGATTGGTGACTTGGGGATGGCGGGGGGGGGGGCAGCTGACGGGGCAGGATGGGCCAATGATGTGGCTGCGGGCAGAGGATGGGGCAGTGAGCAGATAACGTGCGGTTACGTGCGCCAATGACGGGAGAGGAAGTTTGAGGGGCAATCAGTGAGGAAACCATTGGCCATGATTTCGCAAAGCATTCGGGACATCGAGATTCGCGATTTGCTCGCGTAGAGCAAAATGCGCTAGGGTGCTCTGCACCAGCCAAGCAACAATACTTTCGTCGAGTTTCCCTATATCGAGGAATGCGCACACAGCAATTTCGCAACTAGTCGCACAGTAAATTTTGCGCAGAGACTCGACCACGGCTGTAGGAGGATCCACTCTGCTGGTTACGAGTCTTCCTCAAACGCGGAAAATACACACTTAATCGAAGCACTCACCCCACCCACCCACACTTCCTTTCTCCAAGCAAACCACGCCATTCCCCACCTCCCGCACGCTTGACTGTTCCCAGCCCTCCCGTTCGCTCCGCACCACTCCATTGCCCTACCCGCGTGTTCACCTTCCCACCACACAGCAGCGACGCGGGCAGCGGTCGCGAGCGGCGATGGCGAAGAAGAAGGAGGCGACGCCCAATAAGGGCAAGCCGGGCCACTCCATGGACGCCACGCGGCGCGACGGCATGGGCAAGTCGTCGACCGGGCCGGGGTCGTCGATGCGGTCGGCGGCGACGGTGCGGCGGCTGGCGATGTACAAGACGCGCCCGTGGCGCAACAGCAAGGGCAAGGTGCTGCACACGGACCTGCAGTCCAAGGCGCTCCCCAACACGCGCATCAAGCCCGATCGCCGCTGGTTCGGTCAGCACCTCTCCCTACGCCCCTCCCGTTCTTCCCTCCCCCCCGTCCGTCCTCCGCTAGCTTTTCGCCGCGCCGACGTCAGCTGTGTCTGGCGCGCGCGCTGTAGAGTGACGGGATGAGGCGCATGGCTGGTTTTGGGGATTCTCGTGCGACCAGTCGAAGGCGCATAGTCCGCGTGATCGAAGGCGCTGACGTGCCGTGTAACGCGTCGTGACTGGAAACCCGAAACCTCAAACCCTAGATGCGCAGTATATAAGCCTTACAGCAATTTCGTTGCCCACAACCAAAACTTCTCCCGCGCAGAAATCCTAACCCCGTCTGTGTAAACCCCGTGCGAACCCCAAACCCTTGCACGGCTGGGCGCAGGCAACACGCGCGTGGTGGGGCAGCGCGAGTTGGAGCGGTTTCGCGAGGAGCTGGGCAGCAAGGTGTCGGACGCGTACACCGTCGTGCTCAAACACCGCACTCTGCCGTTCTCGCTCCTCAACCACCAACCCCAGGTGCCACCCTCCCCATTCACTTCCCGCCCTCCCCTCCCGCTCAAGCTTCGCTCCGCCGTTCGTCCTGTCCCCATTCCACTTTCTTCCCTCCCGCCATTATTACCTCCTCCTCTCTGCCCTCCTCGGCTCCTCCCGCCCCCTCGGTCTCACCCTCTTTCTTCCCCAACTCCTCGTTCCCCCCCCCCCCCCCATGTCCCAGGGCAAGGCGCGCGTGCACATAGTGGAGACGGAGCCGTTCGAGGACACGTTCGGGCCGGCCGCCAAGCGCCGCCGCCCCAAGCTGGGCGCCGCCGCTGACGGCTACGAGTCGCTTCTGCAGCACAGTGCCGCCAAGCAGGGTAGGGGGAAGGGGGGCGCGGACAAGCAGGGTAGGGGGAATGGGGGCGCGGACAAGCAGGGTAGGGGGAATGGGGGCGCGGAAAAGCAGGGTAGGTAGGGGGAAGGGGGGCGCGGACAAGCAGGGTAGGGAGAATGGGGGCGCGGTCAACCAGGGTAGGGGGAATGGAGCGCGGAGAAGCAGGGAACGGGGTAGGGGGGTCGGAGAAGCAGGATATGGAGGAGGGGGGGGGTACGCGCGAGAGGGAGACGGGTTAGGGCTGGGGATAGCTGCTACCTGCCCTCTACTGTCGCACCTCTGCTCTGCTCCCCACCTCTCGCCCTTCCTCTCTCCCCTTTCCCGGCTAATTGATTCTTTGACTCTCATGGGGCGTGCAGAGTCATTTGAGGGCAGGGCGGGGGGCAGCGAGGCGGTGACGCGCGCGCAGGACTTGGAGGACGGCGCGCGGGCTTTGGTGCGGCACAGCATGTTCGACAAGGGGCAGAGTCGGCGCATCTGGGGCGAGCTGTTCAAGGTGCTGGACTCCAGCGACGTGGTGGTGCAGGTGCTGGACGCCCGCGACCCCATGGGCACGCGCTGCTCCTACCTTGAAAGACACCTAAGGGACAAGTGCCCTCACAAGCACCTGCTGCTGCTGCTCAACAAGGTGCGTGCCGAGACGTGACCCGTGCGCGTCAACCAGTGATTGGCTCTCGTGTGCGCGTGTGTGGAGTGGCGTGAGGTGCTGTGCCGCTGCCAACGCGCCACTGCCGTGTACCACACCCACACTAGCCATCACCCACACTAGCCATCACCCACACTAGCCATCACCCACACTAGCCATCACCCACACTAGCCATCACCCACACTAGCCATCACCCACACTAGCCATCACCCACACTAGCCATCACCCACACTAGCCATCACCCACACTAGCCATCACCCACACTAGCCATCACCCACACTAGCCATCACCCACACTAGCCATCACCCACACTAGCCATCACCCACACTAGCCATCACCCACACTAGCCATCACCCACACTAGCCATCACCCACACTAGCCATCACCCACACTAGCCATCACCCACACTAGCCATCACCCACACTAGCCATCACCCACACTAGCCATCACCCACACTAGCCATCACCCACACTAGCCATCACCCACACTAGCCATCACCCACACTAGCCATCACCCACACTAGCCATCACCCACACTAGCCATCACCCACACTAGCCATCACCCACACTAGCCATCACCCACACTAGCCATCACCCACACTAGCCATCACCCACACTAGCCATCACCCACACTAGCCATCACCCACACTAGCCATCACCCACACTAGCCATCACCCACACTAGCCATCACCCACACTAGCCATCACCCACACTAGCCATCACCCACACTAGCCATCACCCACACTAGCCATCACCCACACTAGCCATCACCCACACTAGCCATCACCCACACTAGCCATCACCCACACTAGCCATCACCCACACTAGCCATCACCCACACTAGCCATCACCCACACTAGCCATCACCCACACTAGCCATCACCCACACTAGCCATCACCCACACTAGCCATCACCCACACTAGCCATCACCCACACTAGCCATCACCCACACTAGCCATCACCCACACTAGCCATCACCCACACTAGCCATCACCCACACTAGCCATCACCCACACTAGCCATCACCCACACTAGCCATCACCCACACTAGCCATCACCCACACTAGCCATCACCCACACTAGCCATCACCCACACTAGCCATCACCCACACTAGCCATCACCCACACTAGCCATCACCCACACTAGCCATCACCCACACTAGCCATCACCCACACTAGCCATCACCCACACTAGCCATCACCCACACTAGCCATCACCCACACTAGCCATCACCCACACTAGCCATCACCCACACTCTACTGCCCCTGCTTTCCTCACTCTCCCCCCCCGCCTGTCTCCCCCCACCCACCATTTTTTCCCCCGCCCCCCCTGTGCGGCATGGCTGTGCGCAGTGCGACCTGGTGCCGTCGTGGGTGGCCAAGGGGTGGCTCAGAGCGCTGTCTCGCGAGTACCCCACACTCGCCTTCCATGCCTCCATCACCAACCCCTTCGGCAAGGTAACCCACGCCACCTGCGCTTGGGCCAGGAGCCATGGCAGGCAGGCAGGCAGGCGGGCGGGCTGGGCTTGTGTGAGGGCGGGTTAACCCTTCGGCGCTCTGCATCGTTGCTGCCGCTGCTGCCTGTGCGCGCCTCGTGTGTGCCTCGTCATGCCCTGTGACAGCCCCATGTGGAACTCCATTCCTCCCCTCTGTGCGTGCGCCCCTCTGCGCCCCTCCCCCCGTCCCGCTGTGCGTGGAGCAGGGGTCGCTGCTGTCGTTGCTGCGGCAGGTGGCGCGGCTGAAGAGCGACAAGCAGGCCATCAGCGTGGGGTTCATCGGCTACCCCAACGTTGGCAAGTCCTCCGTCATCAACACGCTGCGCACCAAAAAGGCAAGCCCTCCCTAAGCGTACCCGTCAACGCTTCCCCCGTTGCAAGTCCTGCCCCTCTCATCCGCGCTCCCCAGCCCGCATGAACCCATGCCTGCATGCCCCTCACCCAACTGCTCCTCTCCACCCCACTGCCCCCACCGCCCTGCCGCACCCGCACAGGTGTGTTCGGTGGCGCCGGTGCCGGGGGAGACGAAGGTGTGGCAGTACATCACGCTGATGAAGCGCATCTTCCTCATCGACTGCCCGGGCGTGGTGTACGCGGACGCCAGGGACAGCGAGACCAACGCCGTGCTCAAGGGCGTCGTCAGGGTCGCCAACCTCGAGGACGCCGACCAGCACATCCCCGACGTGCTCAACCGGGTCAAGCCCGCCTACCTCACCCGTGCCTACGGCATCGAGAAGTGGTGCGTGACCTGGTCCGCTCCCCCCGCTCCCCCGTGCGTGCCACTGCTCCCCCGTGTGTGCCTTGTGCTGCTGCTCTCATTTGTGTGCGTGCATGCAGCGCCCCCCCTCTTGCGCTTGGCTGCAGCATCACATCATCCCCTGCGTGCTGCTCCCTCCTCACGCCCGCCTGTGTGCCCCCCCCCATGCTGTGCCCCATGCCCCACCAGGGAGGACGCCACGGACTTCCTCTCACAGATGGCCAAGCGCACCGGCAAGCTGCTCAAGGTGAGTCCAGGGGGTCACCGTGACTGGCGTTGTGGAACGTGCGCTCTTCTTCCTTTAGCCGCGTCACAGCCACACACACTCAGACACCCATGGGAGCTGATGCAGAGCGTACATTGCATCAGGGGGGCACAGTGATGGGAGGCCACGAATCACGATGGGAGGAGGGGGTCACAGGGCTCACAGTGGGGCGAGGGGGCAACGTGTGGGCAACTGGCGTTGCTGCTGCTGCACTCCCCTTTCCGCCCCCACTATCCTCCCTGAATCTCTCCCCCTCCCCTCCCTACCTCCTCCTACTGTGCACTCCCCCTCCCCCCCTCGCCCACCCCCTCAGGGCGGGGAGCCGGACGTGCAGACGGCGGCCAAGATGGTGCTGCACGACTGGCAGCGCGGCAAAATCCCCTTCTTCACCCCCCCGCCCGACACCGACGCGCTCCCTCAAAAGGGCGCTGGGGGCAAGGCTGCAGGCAAGCAGGGCGGTGAGGGGGGGGATGATGCAGAGGGGGCGGAAGGGGTAGGGGCGGAGGGGGAGGCAGGGGAGGGGGAGAGTGCGGAGCGGCGGAAGGTGAGTGAGCAGATGGAGAAGATGACTGAGGTGCTGCGCGAGGTGGCTCGGCGGCAGCACAACATGCGCGTCCCCACCAACGCTGGCCTGGCGTTTGATGAGGAGGATGCACGGGGGCAGGGCAAGACAGGCAAGCGGGTGAAGCGGAAGGGCGAGGGGGAAGGGGGGGAAGGTGAGGAGGGGGGGGAAGGTGAAGAGGGGGAGGAGGACGAAGAGGAGTTTGAGGAGGAAGAAGTTGTGGAAGAGGAGGAAGAAGAGGATGAGGAGGGAGAGGAGCGAGAGGAGGGAGAGGAGATAGAGGAAGGAGAGGAGAGAGAGGAAGGAGAGGAGAGAGAGGAAGGAGAGGAGGGGGAGGAGGGAGAGGCAAGAGCAGATGGATTAGAGGATTCAGAGAGGGAAGGTGAGGCTGGTGAAGGGAGAGAGGAGGAGGAGGTGGGGGGAGGCACAGCAGGAGGGTTGGCAGGGGAGGAGGTGTCGTGGGAGGAGCTGGTGTGGGGTGTGGGGCGAGCGGTGCCCCTGCCGGCCAAGTTGGGCCAGGGGGCCAGCGAGCAGCCGCGCCCCGCGGGCAGGGGGGGTAAGGGGGGCGCGGGGCAGCAGCAGGAGGGGGCGGGGCAGAAGGGGCAGCTGAGCAGAAGAGCGAGGGCAGCAGCAGCGAGGGCACAGAAGCAGGTGGAGGTGCAGGAGAGGAAGAGGGAGTGGAGTGGTGCACAGGACAAGGGAAAGGGCAAGGGCAAGGGCAAGAAGAGGAAGGGCATGTGAGGGAGGGCGAGTGTGAGGGGTTGTCAGGCGTTGGTAGAAAAATGCCGTGCCCACCTCTCGTGTGCCATTGTGAAGATTCAGCAGCAGCACGAGACAAGGGCAGCTGGCAGTGCGAGCAGCTGTTGGCAGCCACGATAAAGGGCGCACTTGTTACTGCTGTTGATGCTGAGGCCACATGTTCTTGTGCTGCCAAGGCACTATTTGTTTCTCAAGAGAGTGCACAACCAGATCAAGGCACAGCTGCTCAATCTTAATGAGCGTTTGCATTGATTGATTCTTGCAGCACAACACCACCACAGGCATCATATATTTGTTTCATAACATGGCACACCCAGAAAGAGGAACGAAAGAGCATGGGTGGGCTACTTGGGGTGGGAGCGCTGCGTCTTGGCGCAGTGCGGGCAGAAGAGGCAGATGCGGTAGCCCTGCGGCCACTTGGCTGGGTCCACCTGGCATGGAGGGCAGTGGGGGGAGGGGGGCGGAGTGAGAGGGCGTGTACAGGGGTGGGTGGGTAAAGTGGGGTGGGTGAGTAGGATGGGATGAAGGACATGACATGGGGCACAGGGCAACACGAGGGGGCAGATTAGCAAAGGGGATGGTAGCAGTGTTGTGAGCACAGAGAATGCAAGTGGTCAGTGGAGACACGTGTCGCTGTGATGGCAGTGCGTACCAGCAGCACCCATGGGTGTCCCAGCCACTGCCATGTGGCCGCGCACTGCCGTCTTCCGCCCCCCGCTCGCCCACTCACCACTCTCCCTGCCCGTGCACCACACCTCTCTATGCCTCGCACCACGCCCCTCTGCGCCTGCGTGCCGCCACGCACCTGGGCGGCGAGCAGCGCGACCTGCTCCTTGTAGAGCGCCCTCACGTCCGCCAGGTCAGCCTCGAGCTCCTCCACGCGCTCGTTGCGCTCGCCCACCATCACCAGCGCCACCTCGTGCCGCGCCCTCAGCTGCGCCAGCTCCGCTTCCAGTGCTGGCACCGCCACTCGCTCCTGGCAGGGGGAGGGGAGAGAGCACGGGGACGGTTGAGGAGAGAGGGAGTGCTGTGAGCATGGTGGTGGTGCGAAGCAGCCATGCTTGCATTCCCACTGCTTCCCAAACCTTCTCAAGCCCTCTCCACCTGCCTCCAACGCACCACCACCAAATGCCTCTCCACTCCCATCCAACACTCAAGCACTTTGCCCCACCACCACTTCTTCCCTCCCTTCCGCGGCCCCTCTTCCCCATCCCTCCTCCCCCCACCTTTTCGAGCGCGAGCAGGCGCTGTGAGACGGTGAGCAGCTCGTCCGCCGTGGTGTCTCTGGCTGCACGCGCCTCCTGCACCTCCCGCTGCAGCTGCCGCACCTCCCCCTCCTGCTGCCTGCCCGCTCGGTGGGAGGGGGGGCGGCATGAAAAGGGGTCGAGCTGTGAGTGCATCTGAGAGGGAAATCATGGTTGGGTGGCGACAGTGTGGGCGCTCTTCCCCATGCGCATGGACAGCCTGCTGGTGCTGACACGTGGCGAGCAACACTATATGCTGCAGCACTGACACGGCAGGCAGGGCGGGCAGGGCAGGCAGGGGGTCAGGGCGGCAGCAGCGAGGAGTGTGACAATGACCCCTGCGTGCTGTATTTGAGGCTCATCCCACATTCACCCACCTCTCACCGTTCATACTTGTACCGTACTGCTGTGCGATGGCGGCAGCCCAGGTGAAAGGACAGGTGCGGAACCAAATACATCTTGAGAGACAAGCACAGCAGAGAGGGCGTGAGAGGCGGTGGGGAAGAGGGAGAGGGAAGGAAGCCCAGCACACAGTATGCCCACCTTACTTTGGCGCGCAGTCGCTCCAAGCCCACACCGCCTGCTGCCATGCCCCACCCGCCCACGTCCAGGTCTCCCAGCCGCACTGCACTGCCTCCCAACCCCTCCCCCGCCCTCGCCCCTCCCACTTCCACCGTGCTTGCTCCCCCCGTCCCACCTCTCACACTACCCCCTGCCCCGCCTGCCCTGCTGTTGCCCGCCAGCCCCTCACCGCCCCCTGCCGCCTGCCCACTGCTGCCTTGAGGGCTGGTGGGGCGAGGGGAGTGCGAGAGGGAGAGGGCTGAGAGCGGCGGCAGCGAGGGTGAGGGGGAGGAGGCAGGTGACGCTGCTGCGGCTGTGCTGTGGGGCGCTGCTGCTGCTGGGGAGGGGATGGCCTGGGAGGAAAGGGAGGCGAACAGGAGAGAGGGGGGCACAACTTGTGATCAGCAGAGGTGCGCTGATGAGGTCAAGCCAGCGGATGGGCATGGCAGGAGGGAAAAGGTTTCCGCTTTTGAGGCGTTTGGTTACACCAACTTACCAGCATCTCGGCCCCTTGCTGCTGCTGCTGCTGCATCTTGCTCCCGCCACTGCCCTTGCCCTCTCCTCCCCCTCCCCCAACCCTATCATCGCCCTCTGCCCCTCGCCCCCTGCCTGCCCGCTCCATGTCCCGAATGCGTCTGAGAGCCTCGTCTCTCGCCTCACGTGCCGCCTGCAGCGCTGCTGCCGCCTCGGCTCTCGCATGCTCTGCGATGCCCTCCCTTTCCCCCGCTGCCTGCGCTGCCTCCCGCAGTTCCTGCACACATGCGGGGCCGGGGCGAGGGGGGAAGGGAGGTGGTGAGAGGTGGGGGAGGAGGGTAAGTTGGGGGCGCTTCACAAAACTGGCTTCGCATACATGGCACACAGGCAGGCGAGGTGTGACACAAGGGGTTGGCACGCTCACAGCGACCCTCTTTGTTGACCTATGGGCCCCACCCACCTCTTGCTGCTGCTGCAACTCCTGCAGTCGCTTCACTGCAGCCTGGGCCTGCCTCTCTGCCTCCTCCCGACCCCTCACTGCCTCAGCTGCCCCCCTCTCCGCTTGCCCCGCCCTCTCCTCCGCCCGCCTGCGCCCGTCCTCTGCGTGGCGCCAGCGCTGCTCCCACTGCTGCTGCTGCTGCTCGTGCACACGCTCGCGCTGCTCCTCCTCCTGCTCCATCCGCCTCACCTGCGCAGCCATGCCCTCCACCTGATGATGCGCGCGGGGGATGCACAGGGAACGGGGAGGATCGGCACACAGGGAGGGAGGAGATGTAAACTACCAGGGAAGCCATGAGCGGGCAGAGAGAGAGAGAGTGGGATGTGGTTCACTGTGACTGTGACTGTGATTGACAGTGACTGACAGTGACTGAGACCGTGACTGACAGTGACACCGTGACTAACAGTGACTGTGACAGGAAGCTTGCCTGCCTCAAAAGAGGTTGAGTCGCTGCTGTGATGTGCGTGCTGACGTCACCATGAGCTGTCTCCGCCAGCTGGCACCGATTCTTGAGAGCCGCTATCTGGTGGGGAGGGGGAGAGGGAGGAGGTAAGCGGCCAGAGGCGCCGAGAAGCATGAGCGAAAACTCAAGAAAGGCTCCAGAGCGACCCTCACAGCGACCTTCAAAGCGACCGTGAGGCAAACAGGTGCTTGGTAAGGTTGCATGCACAGATGTGCACATTCCTACATTGCACGTGGTTGCTTTCACAAGAGCGTTCAGCATTAATTGCACTGCACACACCCTGCCACTGCCTCTTTGAGACAAACTCAGAATGAGGCATGCCTCCCATACCTGCATCTCCCATGTGACTTGCATCAGCGATCAGCATACCTCTTGCATCAGCGATCAGCATACCTCTTGCATCAGCTTCTCCTCTCGCTGCGCAGCCTCCCTCTCTGCCTCCGTTGCCCTCTGCCACAACGACAGCAAGGACACACGCATGCTGCTGAGAGTGCTGCACCACACACCTTTGGTACAGGCGACAAACAAGAGCAGCTCAAACATGGCCCAACACGCGTGGCACATAAGAGTGAGGCAAGGCACGTGACGGGGGGAGCAAGACAGGCAGGAGGGGAGCAAGGCGGACCTGGGCGAGGGCAGTGAGAGCAGCTGTGAGGTGCCTCTCCTTGTCCGCCGCCTCTGCCTCCAGCGCCGCCCGCTGCTGCCGCATCTCCTCCCTCACCGCCTCCACCGCTGCTGCCCTCTCCTGCGCTCCCTCCGCCACCACCTGCGTCCCCCCCCCACAGGGGCACAGTAGTGGAGGCAGTATGCAGTGCGGGGCAGCAGAGGCATTCAGGGACAGCAGCCACGGGCGCATCCACCCAAAGCAGACATCCAACAGAGCAGAGCACCTGAGCCTCCATGTGAGCACCCGAGCCTCACCTCACCCTGAGCACCCGAGCCTCACCCTGAGTACCTGAGCCTCACCCTGAGCACCTGACCCTCACTCTGAGCACCTGACCCTCACCCTGAGCACCTGACCCTCACCCTGAGCACCTGACCCTCACCCTGAGCACCTGAGTCTCACCCTGAGCACCTGACCCTCACCCTGAGCACCTGAGCCTCACCCTGAGCACCTGAGCCTCACCCTGAGCACCTGAGCCTCACCCTGAGCACCTGAGCCTCACCCTGAGCACCTAACCCTCACCCTGAGAACCTGAGCCTCACCCTGAGCACCTGAGCCTCACCCTGAGCACCTGAGCCTTACCCTGAGCACCTGAGCCTCACCCTGAGCACCTGAGCCTCACCCTGAGCACCTGACCCTCACCCTGAGCACCTGAGTCTCACCCTTAGCACCTGGGCCTCACCCTGAGCACCTGAGTCTCACCCTGAGCAGCTGGTCCTTGTGGTGCTGCAGCGCCTGCCTGGTGGCTGCCAGCGCCTCGTTCGCCTCCTCCAGTAGCGACGACCTGCCACGCACGGGTGGGGGGAGACGGCCGGATAGGGGCGCACACATGCATGCACGCACACAGACACAAATTTATGCAAGCCTGGATGCACCGAAACATGCAGTAGCAGACATGGCCAGGCACAAACGATACGGACGATAGATACAGAAGGAAGGGATCAAGAGAGATTGCAGTGCAGAGAATGGGCACGTTAATGAGAGACGAATGAAGTGAACATAATGCAGTGTTGGGTGTGAGGTGAGAGCTAATGTGGGACGTGGATGTTGGGGGCGGACCTGGTGGCGTCTGCGCTCTGGGCTGCCGCCTCCAGCGCCTGCAGCAGGGCAGGGGAGCGCAGCACACACACACACACACACACACACACACACACACACACACACACACACACACGCATGCACGTTACAGGGGCTGTGTGGGCGGCCGTAGCGGCGGTAGAGAGACGAGGCAAAGGTGGAGCGACACAATGAAGACTGCACAAGGACACTAGACAGGGGGAGGATTCAAATAGAGCGAAGCAGATGACCTGGTTTGTGGCGAGCAGCCTGTCTCTGTCCGCCTCCACGCGTGCCAGGTCCTGCCGCTGCCTCGCCACCACCGCCTCCCTCTCCTCCACCGCCTGCCGCAACGCCTCCCTCTCCCGCTCGCTCTGATGCCCGTGCCAGTGGAAGGGGGGCGGGGGAGGATGGGCGGGGGGATGGTTGGTGTGCAGTGGAGAGAAGGGGGAAGGGATGGAGGAGGGGAGAGGAAGGCATGAGGGCAGGCATGATAGCTGAAGCAAAAAGGCATGGAGCACGCAACACGTGAGTAGAGGGATGATGAGTAATGCAGAGGGTTGATGAGCGATGCCAAGGCAAGGCGAGCAGTGAAAGGGCAAGCAGAGCCCGTGTTGGGGGGGCGGTGCTCCCACCCACCTGCTGCAGCTGAGCGTCCCTCTCCGCCATCTCCCCCTCCATCCTGGCTGCTGCCTGCCTCCGCTCCTCCACCAGCCGCCTCAACCCAAAACACTCCTCCCTGAACGCATGCACCTGCACGGGGCCCACACACCACACGCACCACATGCACACCATGCACACCACGCACAACCAAGCACCACACGCACACCACACGCACCACATGCACACCACGCACACCACGCACAACCAAGCACCACACGCACACCACACGCACCACATGCACACCACGCACACCATGCACAACCACGCACCACACGCACACCACACGCACCACATGCACACCACGCACACCACGCACAACCAAGCACCACACGCACACCACACGCACCACATGCACACCACGCACACCACGCACAACCAAGCACCACACGCACACCACACGCACATAACGCACAACCAAGCACCGCACACACAGCCAGGGAGGCACGCACGCAGGTGTGCAGCAGCGGGCACGGGAAGACAAATTTAAGTTGGTGAGTCACAGGCGGGCAGAAAGAGGGGCACACTAGGCTAATCATATGTGCTTGTGAAGCAGCTCTGTGGGGTGTGCGTCCTTCTCCACCCTGTCACCCGCACTGCACTCACGCCCTTCTCAGCCCACTCACGCCCTTCTCAGCCGCACTACACTCACGCCCTTGTCAGCCTCACTGCACTCACGCCCTTGTCAGCGGCGCGGCGGGGCACTCACGCCCTTGTCAGCGGCGCGGCGGGGCACTCACGCCCTTGTCAGCGGCGCGGCGGGGCACTCACGCCCTTGTCAGCGGCGCGGCGGGGCACTCACGCCCTTGTCAGCGGCGGGGCACTCACGCCCTTGTCAGCGGCGGGGCACTCACGCCCTTGTCAGCGGCGGGGCACTCACGCCCTTGTCAGCGGCGGGGCACTCACGCCCTTGTCAGCGGCGGGGCACTCACGCCCTTGTCAGCGGCGGGGCACTCACGCCCTTGTCAGCGGCGGGGCACTCACGCCCTTGTCAGCGGCGGGGCACTCACGCCCTTGTCAGCGGCGCGGCGGGGCACTCACGCCCTTGTCAGCGGCGGGGCACTCACGCCCTTCTCAGCGGCGTTGAGGCGGCGGGTGAACTCCTCATGCAGCTCGCGCAGCTCCTGCTCCGCCTCCTCCAATGTGCGCCCCCCCGCGCCCCCCCCGCCCCCTCCCCCGCCCCCCTGTGCGCCCTCCAGTGCGCGCTGCAGGTCCTCCTTCAGACGCTCGTTCTCCGCCTGCCACCGCCACCGCCAGGGGGCCAGGGGGGGGGGGGGGGAGGGGGGTGTGGCAGGGGAAGGAACAAGAAGCTGAGAGACACGAAGGGCGGATGAGCAATGGGCAGGAAGAAGAGGTGGTGGGGCACGCGGATAGAAATGGGGTTGTTGTTGTAGTCATTGGTGTGAGCGGGCGAGCGCAGACATGGCGGAGGAGGACGGCTGCTGGAACAACAGAGAAGGAGCGATGGCACGATGCGTGCAGCACATGGCACGATGCATGAAACGAGGCAGCGGTAGGGGGAGGGGGGGGTGGAGGAGGGTGGGCTGACCTGAAGCGCGCCGTTGATGACGGAGTGGGTGAGCAGCTTGTTCTCGTAGTGCTTCACTCTGTGGCGCACACACATGTAGGGGGAGGGGGAGGCACATGCACGGGGAGGGGGAGGCACATGCACGGGGAGGGGGAGGCAGGGGACGCGTGGGTTTAAGATCAGAGCAAGGGCGCAGAGCGAGGAACCAATGAACCGATGGGCCATGTGCGGCATGTGGCATGATAAAAATTGTTATATGTGAATGTTTTTGCGATGCTGCTGCAACCCCCATACTGGACCAGTGCAGCGCACCCCTCATGGGGGTGCAGTGCAGTGCACCCCCACCCCCCTCTTGCATGGAATGGCGCTCACTTGACGGCCATCTCCTTCTTCAGCGCCGCCACTTCCCCCGCCAGCCGCGCCACCTCCGCACCTGCAGCACACACGGGCGCGGCACACACGGGCGCAGCACACAATGCGTCAGCACGCGGAGCAAGGGGCGGCAGAAGCGCGAGGCGAAACGGAGACGCCCACGCATGAGATGCGAGGGCGAGCGCAACGCCCGGGGAGTGCAACGCCCATGCGGGGGAGCGCAACGCCCATGCGGGGGAGCGCAACGCCCAAGCGCGGGAGCGCAACGCCCATGCGGGGGAGAGCAACGCCCATGCGGGAGAGAGCGGGGAACGTGCAAGGCGGGGAGCAAGAGATGCCACATCCAGCGTCGCGCTGCTCCCGCTGCACTCAACTCCGCTCGCGCTCCAGCGCTGCGCCCACCCGTGCATCGCCTTGACCTGCGCCATGGTGGGTGCCCACGCCACCCACGCCACGCGTCGTCGCGCGTGCCTAAAGGCAGCCTCGGCCATCAGCGCACATGCTGCCATCTCCTGCCCCCGCCACATCTGCTTGCACCGACCCTTCTACTCCTCGCACCACATTGCACACCGCGTGCTCACCGTCGTGCTGCGCGCTGCGATCACCCGACGGCTCTGCCGCTCCGCCATTCGCCATCTCTTCCGCAAACGCCGCTCCCGTCGGCATTTCTCGTGGAGAACAGGGTGCGTCCGTCGCTACCTCGTTGCAAGGGACATGTGGTTGCGTGGCGGAAGCGTGTTGTGGGAGAGCGGACAGGCAGGGTGGAGTTTGTGCGCAGTTGAGAGTGTGTGAGTGGGGTACTTCTATTGAAAACAAAGTGGCTGGGGCAAAAAAAAACCCTACATTATAACACACTTCACATGTTGAAAGATGTAAAGATGCTGAACATGTTTGCCTATGTTACGGGTGCAATTGAACGAGGTAGCGAGGATTGCACTATGTTGGTCAAAAGTACGAGCGAAGGCATGAGCGAATACTTGCGAAAACATGCAACGGTTACGCGGTGCGTGCGAGCTAGCTAGTGCTACGCTAGCATGGAGGTTCGGGCTAGTCCCGAAGCGTAGGCCGACTCGGCTGGGCCAGCAGTGCATGAATTGGTGAAACAATGCAAGCAAAGTTGCTGGCTTGGCAATAGGCCCAGACAAGCGCAGCCACGTGACCCGGCGGAAGAAAAACGCTCGGAACGAGCGCTTCCAGCCCCAAAACGCGATAGGATCCGCACATGTGCAGGTAAGTGCAGGGGGCGCTATTAATTCGCGAGCGTCGATTACCGATGATGCTCGCAACCCTCCCACGCCCTTGCTGGCTTGGCAAGAGGCCCAGACAAGCGCAGCCACGTGACCCGGCAGAAGAAAAACGCTTGGAACGAGCGCTTCCAGCCCCAAAACGCGGAAGGATCTGCACATGTGCAGGAAGTGCAGCGGGCGCTCTTCATTCGCGAGCACCGATGACCGATGATACTAGCAACCCTCCCACGCCGTTGATGGCTTGGCAATAGGCCCAAACAAGCGCAGCCACGTGACTCAGCGGAAGAAAAAAGCTCGGAACGAGCGCTTCCAGCAAAAAAACGCAGAAGGATCCGCACATGTGCAGGAAGTGCAGCGGGCGCTCTTCATTCGCGAGCGCCGATGACCGATGATGCTCGCAACCCTCCCACGCCCTTGCTGGATTGGCAAGAGGACCAGACAAGCGCAGCCACGTGATCTGTTGGAAGAAAAACGCTCGGAACGAGCGCCCACCCCCAAAATATGGAAGGATCCGCACATATGGAGGAAGTGCAGCGGGCGCTCTTCATTCGCGAGCGCCGATGATCGATGATGCTCGCAACCCTCCCACGCCCTTGCTGGCTTGGCAAGAGGACCAGACAAGTGCAGCCACGTGACTTGGCGGAAGAAAAACGCTTGGAATGAGCGCTTCTACCCCAAAAATGCTGAAGGATCCGCACTTGTGCAGGAAGTGCAGCGGGCGCTCTTCATTTGCGAGCGCCGATGACCGATGATGCTTGCAACCCTCCCACGCCCTTGCTGGCTTGGAAAGAGGACCAGGAAAGCGCAGCCACGTGATCTGTTGGAAGAAAAACGCTCGGAATGAGCGCTACCACCCCCAAAACGTGGAAGGATCCGCACATGTACGGGAAGTGCAGCGGGCGCTCTTCATTCGCGAGCGCCGATGACCGATGATGCTTGCAACCCTCCCACGCCCTTGCTGGCTTTGCAAGAGGACCAGACAAGCGCAGCCACGTGATCTGTTGGAAGAAAAATGCTCCGAATCAGCGCTACCACCCCCAAAACGCGGAAGGAAGTGCAACGGGCGCTCTTCATTCGCGAGCGCCGATGACCGATGATGCTCGCAACCCTCCCACGCCTTTGCTGGCTTGGCAACAGGCCTAGACAAGCGCAGCCACGTGACCCGGCAGAAGAAAAACGCTTGGAACGAGCGCTTCCAGCCCCAAAACATGGAAGGGTGAGCACATGTGCAGGAAGTGCAGCGGGCGCTCTTCATTCGCGAGCACCGATGACCGATGATACTAGCAACCCTCCCACGCCCTTGCTGGCTTGGCAATAGGCCCAAACAAGCGCAGCCACGTGACTCGGCGGAAGAAAAAAGCTCGGAACGAGTGCTTCCAGCCAAAAAACGCGGAAGGATCCGCACATGTGCAGGAAGTGCAGCGGGCGCTCTTCATTCGCGAGCGCCGATGACCGATGATGCTCGAAACCCTCCCACGCCCTTAATCGCTTGGCAAGAGGACCAGACAAGTGCAGCCACGTGACTTGGCAGAAGAAAAACGCTTGGAATGAGCGCTTCTACCCCCAA